GAGAGAGAGAGAGAGAGAGAGAGAGAGAGAGAGAGAGAGAGAGAGAGTGAGAGAGAGAGAGTGAGAGAGAGAGAGAGAGAAAATTCGACAGGAGTTTTTTTAACTCAATGACCGTACATGTGCTTTTGTTATATCGCTGCTTGTATCATTCAGAGCGCGTCATTTGAATGTCAAATCAAATAAAATGGCCATTATTACTGCATAAAATTACAATAGGTAATTCGCAATTTCCGAATTGTCACACACAAACAATTTACTAAGCCAAAATGCGACTCGAAAGTGTCACTGCCGTACTGAGCACATGTACTTATACACAATACACGATGGTGACAAGGTACGATCGGTAAAGCGGAACCAAATATAGTCAAAACGAACGAAAAACAAAATTCGGACGCTCAAAAACCCACATGCATGTCAATTTTTACTGCATACTAATCCCCGGCTTAATGCCATATGGAATGAAGTGTCCAGACACTTGAACCATAAATAAAATATGCTGTAAATAAAAACGTTAACAAAATTACCAATTAAAACGTTCCATTTTCTTTTCTCATCCATTTTTTCTTGCCTCTGTGACCAGTCTATCGCGACTCTGTCGATAAAAACAAACAAATAAACGGATACCGTTCTTTCCGTGTACATATATCGATAATGTGCACAGATGCTTATAACCAAGTTGCTGTCGTGTGTGCGCAGTCCAATTTAATGAGCCGTATATGCAGAACGCAACAAAATTACCCAAACAATAATGAATGCTCTGTAAATTAATTGTAAACAATGAGTGTTTTCATTTAGATTTTCATTTCATGGAACAAAAAAAAAACCCGTTCACAAGTTCACATCTACACTGATCGAAATCAATGGCGTATACCCACAATTTGGCTCTAATTGCATTTCGTATGAAAAAACTCCGAAAAAGTGGCGTGTATGCAAATAACGACTTTGCGCCATTGTGAATTTCAATGGGCACCACGTACTGCATCGGCTCATTCACTGTTTGTGCTCCCAACGCGAATCAACTACTTGCCAGGCACACGGAATTCGTTATTTACTGAAAATGAAGTGAGCCACAGTGTTTATTGTATACGTTATAAAAAATTTTCAGTATTTACAAACAATAACCAAAAAATTACCATACGTAACGTGAAAATATGTGTCGGATGTGCAGTTTATGGTTCTTTCGTTCGTCCGTTCGTTCTTGGCAGAATATATGGAGAATCAAGAACCCGTACGTTTTTTTATCTGATTCTCGTTGATGTACTAAAAACTGTTTTTTCCCATTTTAGACCTATCAATATGCATCAATTTCGACCAATGCAGCGCGCCGCTTTGAATTTCTGATGAAGTTTTTGCAATTAGCTGTAATATGCCTCAATTTTTGGGGCATTATGTTTGTAGCCCATTCTCCGTATTCAATACTGTACATCTGTTCGCACTTCTAAGCTATAGCTTTGGTACCAGGTGTTTATGGAGATTATGTTGATCATAAAACTTTTTTTCTACGTGTTTCCATAATACTCAAGACGCAATGGATTGTGTGCCCAATATGTGTCTGTGCTATTCAAATAATCAACGGTAAAAAAAGATGTTGCTGTGTATTCCAGTTTGACACAAGCAATCACCAATTTGGCCATGACATGCGCACATACACAGCACAAATAATAATTGAGTCGTAAACTTTCGAATGGTTTTTAACGATTGACACATGACAACATACACCTCCAGAGAATAAGTCTAAGTACACCTTAATATCAATGAAACTAATTGGCACTATTGTACTGCCAACCACAACAACAACGACCGAAAGAAATGACTCTTTGCACGAAGACGACGCAACGGTCGACAATTCAATCGGCAAAATCTGCATTTCATAACATCTTTGTTTATTTTCCCTTCGTCGGATGTGACGTGCGAACGTGTATCACCGTGAAATATACAATAATTAGCGAAAAATAGAATTCGCCATAAAATATTAGACGAACAACAAAAGAAACAAGTAGAGATGATGATAGTGTCGGCCAAGCTATTATGAATATACAATATGCGGAATGGAATACGAGAGAGAGAGAGAGAGAGAGAGAGAGAGAGAGAGAGAGAGAGAGAGAGAGAGAAAGAGACAAAAAAGACTCGGCAACAACTCAACAGTGAATAATATCAAATGAAAAAGAAAAACCAAATTATGGATATAAAAACAATTTCGTTGAAAGCAAGTTGAAGTCAATTTCTTGTGTTTCATTCTCTCCCAACGCAGCGCACACTCAAACGCAAATGCCCCGTTAGATCGCATTCAACGCGTTCAGATCGTGTGATTTATGCCGTCATCGTGTATAATATTTGAATAGACCGGCGAATAGAAAATAAACCATAAATATACATTTGCATTGAAATTGTAATTTCCCGAATAAATTAGCAAAAATGAAGCTGTTTGTCTTCGATGTTCGGGTTCTTTCTCAAGTTCAAATGTGTTTTGTTCGATGGGTTCGGCAGAAATATGGTATTGTTTTTTTCTTCTGTTCGAAAATCAAAACGAAATTCCCGATATGGATTATGTGATTTTACGATCAATTTCGATACGATGCTCTAGGAATTGTTTGTAAATTCTTGAAACCGCTATTAATAATTATGTTTTATATTAGTTTGGTTTGATTTGTTATTTTATGGTCATCGATTCTTCATATTCTTCATCGTTGTCGTCGTCGTCGCCATCGTTGTCGTATCTCAAACGCGATATTTCTTTTCCTCGCCATTAAATTCAAGATACGAAGAATTACGTGTGTCTACATCGGTCGATCGCTCTACTGCGATAAAAAAAAGATTAAATAATAATAAAAACCATAGATAGACAGATATTATTGTGAGCAAAGAAAATTATGAGAGCAACCGAACCGACGAAACAGCGACGACCAAATGATATAGAAAATAATAATCAACAACGAAAGAAAAAAATTATGAAATGTTTTTTTTTTATTTTGATGATTTGAAATGTATTCGTATGTAAATTTTCATCCGAATCTCATCATATTTCTCCATTCAATCGCAATGAATGGCCAATAATTATGATGAAGATGAGCGTTTTGTGAATGGGAATATCGTCCATTCCGTGCCGAATTAGATTGTACCGTTTTTTTGTGTGTCGTATACCAACTTTTTTCTGCTTTGGCTGGATCGAAAGAAGATTCAAATCTAAATTATCATCTTTTTCGACAAAAACAGCGAATTTCTCCCAGGCTAACTTGAATTCAGGCACCTGGTTTTTTTTTCGTTGTCTTTCTCTCATCCAATTGTGGGTAATTTTCTTGATATTTCAATCTCTTCATAAAACCTCAACATTCCACGGTTTTCATTCATGTAATGTTTGCATTAGCGTTCATCAATGCTGAAAACATTTCCCAAATTGTTTACCGAATGCTTTGTGCCGAAAATTTCATGTTTTTTTCTTTCTTCATCAATTATGGCCACCGATAATATTGTTGTAGTTATTTTCGCTGATGATATTGTGTTGTGCTGCATTGAGTAGCGGCGAGTTTTCTCCGTGTGCTCGAGTTCATATCAAATGATTAAGTTGAACTTTCACGTGACCATCGGCTGTTGAAAGCAACAGTCGATGGATGGAACAGACAACGGGAAACCAGAATCGCAGAAATCAGTAACATCATTTTCCATCATTTCCTTCGTCGCTTTTTTCCATCTTCACTTTTTTTCCAACTTCAAATTAGATGGAAAATTATAGACTGATCTCAATTACCATGGCGTGATTGTCGATTGAGACAAGTTACTCCAGAATTAATAACCTTTCATCGATCTCGGCTTTGCTTGGTTTTTTTTCTCTCGCTATACCGCTACCGATAATAATCATTTCAAGCGTTCAGAGTTGTTTGCTTTGCCACTTGTAAACGGTTTTTGTTTTGATTTTTAATGTTTTTTTTTTTCTTTTCTTTTTATTGAAATTGCAGAGAGTCAAAAGGCAGAAAATATTCGTTGCCCGTCGTATACAATGATGACGTGGATGCAAACGATTTTAATGGGATTGGATACCGAGCCAACGATACGATCAGCGGTATGAGCAGCGTGTCCGAGGATTATGAGAATCAGAGTGTTAACGTAAGTGTTTTTAATTGGTTTTCTGTATAGAGTTGAAATGATTTTTCGATTATTATGTGTACAACTGCTTCATAATTCGGGCGCAACAGCACCAAATAAAAGAACATCAAGCTTCAAGTAGTCATGTTATGTGTGTAATGTCTAGCAAAAATCAAAATGAAAGAAAAAAACCCAGTGCAAAACGAAAAGATGTAAACGGTTTTCTGTGGTGCACAGTTACAATTGCGGTGTCTGGTGCTGGGGCGACTAAAATCCATTAATTAACTATTTTTGTGATGATGCGCACGCTTTTGCTTCAATTCGATTTATTCGACCGCTATAAATTCACTGGCCTAAACGAGTGCACTTTTTTTCTGCCTTTTTATTTACTTCAACATCATTTAATTGAACATACCGAAAACTACTAAGGTGATCAAGTGCGCTGTACACTATACAAATCAAGCCCGACGACGTATGAAACACACACACGAATACAGTCTATAAATATCATGTGCGGTATGTGTAGAATGCGTTGAAAAAATACCACTGCCACCGTTTCATTTCTTTCTCGACCGAAATTTTTCTCGACTTCGAAATGCGTCCGTTCTTTGCGGTTAGTCACTCAAATTTCGACTAATGCTTCTGATTTACGCGCACACACACCGTTCGAGTCGAGTTTGTTTTTCCCTCGTTCAATCTCCGTATGCATTTCTTTATTCCGCTTCAAACAAAGATGTAATGAGTAAAAATAACACGTATCAACATGAAAAAAAGGGGGGAACAGGAAAAATAAAAATCGCCCAAACGAAATCAAGTAGCTGTACCGTGTATGCAGTAACTAATTAATGGTGAAATGCCAGAGAAATGCTCTCGATTATTTTGAAATGAAAGAATTTATTGGCCGATTTTAAATAGACTACAAACAACAACTGGCAACGCAAATATTCTACATATTTGCCGGCTGACTTTTTTCATCGTCTTCTTTCTTCGTGCTTTTTCCTCGCCACAAATAAATGGGCGCATTTCTTTTATTCATTTCTCTAAATCCGTTTTCGACCGTATGATCACATCGTGCGTTCGCACGCATAATATTCACTTAATTGGCTCAACTTGATGTACATTCACTTCCCTTTTTTCTTCATCATGTTGATGCTATTTTAAATTGCGACCACAAAGCACTTAATCCACTTTGCAAAGTTATTTATGTACTACACAGTTTGATTTATTAAACAAATATTCGGTTCCGCATAATATTTCTCTTTTTGCATTTTTCTCTCTCTCTCTCTCCCTCTCTCGCACACACTACTTGTGTCATAACAAAAATACAGAGCGATAATGCGTTGGACAGCGATAAAAATCGTTTTATCGACGGTAACAGCAATCATAAAGAGAGCTACAGGCGAGATTCGGAATCAAGTCCTGGTTTTGATGATAACACATCGAACAGTACACTGTCAGCCGCATCACCCGATCCAGCCTACAGTTCATCGTACAATTCGAATGGTTCGCGCATTCAAACGACCACACTCACAAGCAATTTCAGTCGTGCATCGGTTGAATCTTGGGCTGAAAAGCATCATGCTCCACCATCATCAAATCATTTGAAACCAAAACCTCGATTAACGCCAAAAATCGAAGGCCATTTGGCAAGCTACGAAACGAAATTGAATGATTCGCATGCGGACCAAGACGAACGCAATGCCAATGTGAACGCCGATAAAATCGATTTGCCGAAAATTGATATTTCATCGCGGCGTGAACTCTTCGAAAAGGAGCAACGAGCCCAATTCAACCGATCCATTGACACAAAGAAACCAATCGTATTGACAGAGAATGCACAGGCACCAGCCAGTATCAAAGAGCGTCTGTCACATTTGGAAAAGCGAAATGATGAACCGAAAGACGTGATGCCAACCAAACCAAATCGATATTCGGGAGACTTTAGTGGTGTACGTGAACGTTTTTCGCACGGGGAAAACGGTCAATTTGTGACGATTGAGCCGAAAGCGCCAAAAATTGATGTTCCAGTCGTTCCGCTGAAAGAGCGTCTGATGAATCTCGAATCGTCAATGGTCGTCACCAGTGAAACACCAACATCGAACGGGAAACTCGAGCATCGAACAAAGAAAATGGTCGAACCAAAGGCAATCGCATTCAACAAGCCCGAAGAGAACAATTTAAAGGTGATTGATAACAACAATGAAAGCACAACATCGTCGCCGATTCATGTCGACGAAGCGTCGCATCACTTGAAAGACGACGAAGACAGCGGTATCAATTCAGATGATTTACAGTCAAGTTTAGCATCGCAACAAAGTCAACCCCAACAAGTGGTCGAAGAAGTGGTGATCCGTACAAAAACTGTGACCGCCGTAATGTCATCGCCGCCGTTGTCGCCACGCAGTGAAAAACCAAACGAACCGGTACCAGCTGCACGCAAGCCTGAAGTTATGCCACGTCGTCAAATCACACCCGATCTCGTGAAAATCACATCGAACTTGAATCTCGAAGATGATTTATTGCAGTCACAAGATGAGATCGATGATGAGGCGGACAATAGTGTAAGTTTACCAAACACCAGTCCTACTTCTACTACTACTACTACTACTGATTCTACATCAATACCGAAAAACTTTCTTAATTTAACGATCAAAAGCGTTTTAGTCGATAGTCATGATATTCTTAAGGCTTCTACTCTTTCTTCTCCTTCTTCTTGTACTCCTACTTTGGTGATGGAAAATCAATCTATTGAACGTGCTATATCTAGTGGTCAAACAGCTGTACACAATGAAACCGATCGCATTGTAGTTAATAACAATCATAAGCCCGTAGAAAATCAAAATCTAACCGTAGACGTAGAACCTGTACTAACCGAGAATACCATCGAAAATAACGGCGCAAACCAAACGACTGACAACATTGTTGCCAATGAAATCGCAATTGACGCATCTCCATCGAAACGGATCTATCAAAACATTGCTACGCATTCAAACAATAATCAATCAGATCAATCAGATCAAATGCTCGTGTCAAATATTCAAACCGCGGTGGCCAAAAACAAATCACAAACCGTCGACACTGTTGATGGTGGTAGTGGTGATTGCGATCAAAATCAACAGCAACGTGAATCCATTCAATTGAAAAATGAACGTATCAAATGTCAAATTGTTGGTGTCTTGGAAAAGAATAAAATTGATGTAGCTGCGGCTGCGACTGTGGCCGAATCGAATTCAAATGAAAATCAATCACCAATATTGCCGCCGAAATTCGTAAACAAAAGTCCATGCAAAAGCCCCAGCAAAACAAAAAACATTTTCGATTTTATCAAACGCAATTTACTCAACGAATCCACACCAACCACCATGGCCAATACCGAACCAATCGATAATGAAACCGTCGATCAAGGTTCACATTTTTTTGTTTCGTTGCACGAAGCCAAACAAAGCAGTGAAATTGATCATTTACTCGATGAAGAGATGGAGAAATTAAATGAAATCCCCTCCCCCCCACACAAATGAATTAAACCCAATTTGAATTTGCGATGAAAAAATAGGAAGAAGTAGACACTTGAAGTGTACTTTTCTTCGTTAAAAAATTGTTAATTGTTCATGATAAGTAGCAAAATTCCTTGTTAACCAACTAAATTATATACAAATCGTTGTCACAAACAATACTATTTAACCAAATGAAATCTAACTAAATCCTGTTAAATGATCTGAATTGTAGAATCTCCATCAAAAACAAAGCCCGAACATGCACAAATGCAAATACTCGAACGTGTAATTTGATTATGCGAAAAACAATATTTACCCTTATTTATTGAAGAAGAAAAAAAACAATATATTTTGAAAATAAAAGTGAAATTGAATTTGAATCCATTTCTTCCATAGCAAACAAATACCCAATTCGCCTTCGACATTTGTTAAAAGAAAAAAAAATATTTTCAACTATAACAAAAACATGAAATGATTTTTTGAACAGTTTTTTAAAACTACAGAAATTTGAATATTTTCGATAGAACTTATGCCATTTGGTAGCACTGAAATGAAATGGAAATGTGTTATAAATCTTTTTGTTCTGCTTCAAATAATAAGCAATCAATTTTTTTTGTTACCTAATTCTTTTTTTCTAATTTATTTATTTGCATAAGAAAAATTGTTAGCCAAGTGTGAATATTTTTTCTCTTTTTTCCACATTTTTGAAGCTTTACACACACACACACACAATCCCACACGCTGTTAATTAATTTGACCTTTTTGGAAGAAAAATTGAATTTTTGTTGTACCTCATAGTGAAATAAGAAGAAAGTAGAAATTGAATTGGAATGCCGATTGAAAATGACCATTTCTCGAAGATCACACTAAGGAATTGTGCTCGGCATAATGCATGCAAGCGAATAAAAATGTCTTGAGGCAATTTTCAAAAGCGAATTTCAAAAAAAAAACAGCAAAACAACGGCCGTCATCATCCGTTCAAATGGTTAATTATTTTTAAATGCGGCATTCAATTGGAAAAAGTTGTTTTCACTTAGCATCAATATGCGCAAGTCCATTTACGCCGAATACCAATAAAAAAAAAATCCGTACACAAAGTACACCGAGCGAAAAACGGTCGGTACATCGAATGCCTCTGCCTTCATTCACCGACGATTCAATACTCAATTATCATGGCTACCTTCCAAACATACGTACGCTAATTGCGTCGCGACGCGTTTTTATTCGCTTCAATGCTGGTCAGAAACAGAAAGTGAAAATTGATTGAATGCGTTTGATTTTCAATCTATTTTGTATATTTTTCTTTGTTAAGTGAAACATTAGAGTGAATTTTGAAATTGAAGAACAAAAGAAGCAGTAAATTATTGAAATAAAAGTAAACACACCCAAACAACTACTTTCATTTGTCCATTTGTCTGAAAGAAAAATAATAACCGCAACACAACAAAAAAAAATCGATAATACACGTTATTCGTCAAGGACTTAGTTCATATATATATGTGTGTTGTAGAGAGTTGGTATTTTATCCATATGTGGATGCTTCGTTAAGTGAACCACAATTATGCTGATAAGTTGAAAGAAAAGGAAAAAAAACCGAAAAAGTCTGCCTTCGGGCAAGCGACCAAAAAAAATGAACAGATCCCCATTTTAATGTAGTTGAATGTTTTTAAATCAGAAATTATGCAATATTTATGCCCAAAACAAGAACTCGAGAAAAGAGAAAAAAAGAAAAAAATATATATTTATGAAATGTTTTGCTTGAATCACTCAATTTCAATTATTATATATGTGGATCGTTTAGCTCAAAACAACACGTTGCAACATATATAGATAAAGTTTTACTGGCTAATAATAAAACGAGGAAAAACATCGAAAATAAATCAATTGCACTGTGTTTCAAATAGTTTAAATCCCAATCGAAATTTGCCTATAACTTTTTTCTTTCACTCGCATTGATCTCAATTATTTTATGTTATTGCCGCGTTTTAAAGTTTTTTCCAAAGGCATTTTGTTTCGTCGATTCGTTACGAATGGTTTGGCATTTGCTAAAACCATTTTACCTTACAACTCATTACTTCTCTTCTGAATCGCGCACCCCGTTCAAAAGCCATGTGTGTACGTGCAAATGCATCTCGTCGCGCCATCCAAATATAATCGAGTATAATTCTTTCCCTTAAGTCGTGTATGTGTATATGATGCAATATAATTAAGAGAAAATTCCATTAAATCAAATTTTAATTCCAAAGTGCGCGCACAAATTCCAGCCGATTGCCAATGTTCAGTGCAAATATGAAAGTCGTTACACTCAATACCTATTTCTCTCTATCGAATAGTGAAATATTCTTGCGTTTATGGCAAAATATAAAAAAGCAACAACCACAACAACAACAGCAACAGCAAATATTGCAATTTATCCATATCGAGTGCGCGGGAATGCGAAGAAAAATTATCGATTTTCAGAAAAAAATAAAAAAATAATATATACACATTCGAATATATATTGTTTGTTCAGCGAGTTAGCAATTTTTTTCTCTCTCTCTCTCTCTCTCTTTCCATCCACAATTGCCAAACATGGGATAAAGGCACATTTGTTCATAAAGCAATGCTATAAACAACGACCGGCCGAGGTGCAATACGATCGCTAACAATAAATATGAAGAATTTTATGATTATTTTCAATAAATTGCATTCTTCGGTGCGAATCGCATTGTAACTAAATATTTAGGTTTTCCTTTAATGCACTGGTTGCGCGTGCCTTAACGACAACCACGGTGGGAAAAAAAATCTCTACCGAATCGTTCCGATAAATCCAATATGTGTGCCGGTATTTTTTGTGTGAGTTCGAAGTTTTGTCGGGCTTCTCCCGAATTATCTTGTTCATTCGATTCTATTTTATTGCTCGCTCAATGAACAGTATTCATTGAAAATACTCGTATTCCACTTTTGAAAGTGACAAGAAGCACACGGCCAATGCACAAGGACCGAAAAAATGCCGCGATTTATCTAAATTTGAAAATAAAACTCATCCACTCTATTTAACTAAGTCAGTCGTACACGCATTCATTGAGTACGGCTAGTGCTAATAAGCCGACATATTATGCAAATCAAGAGTAAGCGACAACTAAATCGAAATGAAAAACCGTAATTTTACGTAATTTTGTTGTTGTTGCTAGACTGTAGCGCGAGGTGTAGAGTCATATTGCTAGCACATGCATACACGGTTTTAAAATACGGTGATATTGTTTTGAAGAGGTAAAATGGGTTTTCTCTTTCGTTGAAAAGCTTGTTTTTGGTGCCGGTGTCTACATTAGGTGTTCATGTTGTTTGCTTTTCTTCTTTCTATTTTTCAAATCATCTGTTTTCTTTATTTATGGTTATTTTTTCTTTCCTTTCTTCGTTGGAGTGAGCGCTTAGTGTGTTTCTCGCTCAATCATATTCGATTCGTTCGTTTGCGATACATTGGTTAGTTTTTAGTGTGTGCAAATTCGAGCACCACATTGCAAAAGGAAGCTTATACACACACATAAAACGTATTTAATTTTCTTTCTTTCTAAATGATTGTACTATTTCTATCTGTCTGTGGTTAGTGTCTAAATTCATTTCAGCATTACACGAGGTACGTACAACGATGTGCAAACAAATAAAATTTATAACCATTGTTGTTGTTGTTGTGTTTGTTTTCATTTCATCTAATTAGCTCTTTAGTTGATTGTGCTTCATTTTATCGCTTTTACTTTTTATTCTCTCTATTTTGGTATATATATTATTTGCGATTTGTGTAGTTAGTGGTGTGCTTGTTGTATATATCGGCCATAAAACTGTGCTACGGCGCTCGAACAAAATGCGAGTATTAACATCATTTATATCGTTGCTCGTTGCACTCCTCTATCTATTCCATCCATCGCTAACATTTATTTCGTTGCTTGTTATTGCACTCATTGTATTTGCGAATTTATGTTTATTTACATCTAATTGCGATTATCAGTTTCTAATTTGGTGTTTTTTTTTTCTTTCTTCTTTTTCGTTCGTTTGTTTTCTTTTTTTGCAATTTCGCATAATTTGCACGAAAACTCAAAAACAACAATAAAACAAACGCTATCATTAAATAGGTGATTGATGCGTTGGATATTGCATTGAATGCAATCGATACGGAGAAACCGAACGAGCTAATCAACATTGCGACGTCATTCGATGAAATTTATGAGGAAATAAATGAATTCAAACCATTGAAGGCAACGACGACGTCAACACGCGGCAGTACAATTGCCGCACCGAGCAAAGAGAAAGCAACAGCAGTAGCAGTAGCACCGGTCGCTGTTGGAAGTGCAAAAGCGACGACGACGACGGCGACAGCCGCAAAAACAATTGAGTTGAGCCCAAGTATTGGGTCCTCCAATGGATCTATGGTGGAAACCGTTGACGAGCCATATTATCAAGTGCCGAAAAAGCAAAACGAGTCATACTATGAAGTACCAAAATCGCGACCGATTCCAGTCTACGAGAATGTCGACATGTACTATGACAACATGGCCTCGTCACATAAGCTTAGTTCTCCAACGACGACAAAACTTCCCGTTCCGCTTGAAATCGGAACGAAAGCGGCCGCAATGCAACCGCCAAAAGAGAAGCCACCACCACCGCCCGTCGAATCGAACGATGAGGAAGAGAGTGAATGTGCCGAAGAAGAACCATTGCCGCAAGACGCAATGAAACGTATCAACTCGACGAAACGTATTAAAAAGGAAATTCGTAACAAGCGATCCAGTTTTTTGGGCATTGAGGGCAACGACGACGAAAGTTTCCTCGAATTGAGTGTTGCACCACCGCCCGATATGGCGGCATTGCTGCAAGAAGAGCGTCGCATCGAAAAGCAATTGTATATGAAAGCCGGTTTGTATGACAGTTCGGATACGGCCGAAAGCCGTGATTCTGGTGTATCGGAGAATCATTCGCGTCAGAGCAGTGAACCCGTTACATCATCGTCCGAAGAACAAGATTCCAATCGGCCGGAAATTATTAGCGCACTTGAAAAAGACAAAAAACTACTGGAAGCCGGTAAAAATGCATTGGCTATGGAGTGCCGTGTGCTTGGCACACAGCAATGGGTTTATAACGATGGTTTTGCACAGAATGACGACGACATCGATCCGATTTTAAAAGCATTGGATGAACGAGAACGCGCCAGGTGCATTGATGATCAAAACCAAGAAGAGGCCGACATTTTGCGCGTGGAACGTGAACTATTGCAATTGGAACAGGAGGAAATGAAGCGCAAAAACATGATGAATCGCAAATTGTACGAACAGCAACGCATGCATGCAGAGCAACAAGAGGTCGAACTTCGACGCTCGTTGCAAGATGTCAATGGCAATGCCAATTTGTATGCCAATGTCTACAACAACAACAACAATAATGACGATTATCATCTTGTGCAACCGAATCATCGAAAATCGATGCCAAATCTACAGGATATGACATTGCGTGAAGCGCCCGAAGAAAATGATCGCATCATACCCCCAATTCCACCGGCCAAGCCGTTACGCGTGCAAGAGTACTTAAAGTATGGCAAACCGATTTATAGCAATGGTGGTATGATTGATCCAAGGACCAATCAATCGATGCCAATGCACTTGAACACAATCCATTCCAACGAAGACTTCCTTCCATACGCCGTGAACAGCGGTGGCAGCAGCAATAATTCCATCAATGGCTCGTATAGTAACATGACTCGTCATACATTGCACGCATTGAGTGCTGTACCGAAACCAAAGTTCCAAGACACATGGGCTCACAATAATAACAACAACAACAACAATTACGAAAACACGAACGATCGTAGTTGGCACTCAAGTCGCGATTATATCGATCCAGCGGCTGAGCCATACATTCGGCCACGCCAAATTAAAGAACCGATCGGTGATTCTTGGCTTTCTCTGCAACAAAAACGACGATCAGATCCACAAAATTTCAACTATAACACACATTGGCTCATACAAGAAGCGGAACAAAGACGAATCGACCAAGCGCGTCGATCAAGCACATACACAAATGGAAACGAATGGTCACAATTGAACAACAACAGCAACAGCAAAGTCATCCCACGGAAAGGAAGCAGTGACAACAAACCGCTACCTGAGGCGGTCATACAAACGCTCACTCAACGCGTTCAGAATAAGCTTAGCGATAAGAAACGGTGAGTGGTTGGGTTTTTTTTATTTATTTTCATTCGAAAAGTTGATTGACACTTTTTATTTCCCTGGAGGCTAATTGAATTGCGTTTTTTTTCTTGTTTTTATTCTCTGTTAGGCTTGAAAGCCAGCAAAATCACTATCATTATCATCATCATTCGCATCAAACACTTGGCAGCAGCACCGAACAACTTGTCTCCCCGCAACACAATCACACCAATTATCATCAGCCACTTCAGCTGAGCAATTCACGTTTGTCCGACGAAGCGCCACGAGAGATTCTCAGCGTCAGCGGTAAAAAGAAGTGCTCATATTGCTGTGAGGAATTAGGTAAATGTTAATGACAACTCTGTTTCAATACACTTCTCTTTGAGTAATTGTTTTTATTAATGCTAATTTCTTCTTGATACATTTTAGGTCGTGGTGCCGCCATGATAATCGAAAGTCTTCGTCTGTTCTATCATTTGGATTGCTTTAAATGCTGTGTGTGTCGTGTGCAATTAGGCGATGGCATTACTGGAGCCGATGTTCGAGTACGAAATCAAAAACTTCACTGCAATAATTGCTTCTCCAGCGACGATGGCGTCAAATTCAGTTGCGTGTAGTTCCAATTGTCAATGTTTGGATTTTCTATGTTCGCTGGACGCAAACATAACAAGTGTATATTATTGTTGAAAGAAAATATTATTTGTTTAATTCGTAAGTAAAAAAAAACAAGAAGAAATGAAAGAAAATGCGCCTAGGCTAAGTTTGTTCTACAGACAAATTTTTATCAAAGTTGATTTTGATTAAGCACAATATTCTATTCTCAATGAATATGATTTTCTTTTTTTTTAAATTGAAGTGTAAACTTCTTTGCAATTATAACAACAACAAAATATTCAAATATGTTGACACATTATCCCATCATTTTTTTAGTATGTTGATAATACGATTTAACTAACGCATGAATGAGAAATTAATTGTACGTTTTTTTCACTAGTTTTTTTTTGCTTGCTTCATTTATTTAGATGACCTATTGTATATGGATTTGTTTGTATTTAAAATGCTGAAATTCAATAAATTCCCCCATGAAATCAATCAAAATTAGTGAAATTGTTTTTTTCTTGCAGAGAATTTCTCTTTTCGTTTCAGATTTCATGGCTATAAAGAAACGTCAAGGATGTCCAAGTTGAATTTGCGCGCTGTTGTGATTGAAAATGTTTAAAACGGTTGAAAATGTGGTGAAATGCAGGTTAATTCACAAACGTAATAAACAATTTGACAGAATACAAACGATCATCGACCGACTTTTTGAAGAATTCATTCTTGGCGCTCTTTTGACATTTCAATTGACAGAAAATGTTTGTTTACCAAGTATTGATGTGTGGTTCACAATAGACACACTTGTCAGTTGTCGAGCGATTCACTATCTTCTCCGGCTTCTTGACTCATGTCAATTGAATTGTGAAAAACAAAACTAAACAATTTTTTTTTCTTCGTTTAAAATATTTAATTTAATTGAAAAAAAGTTCCCCAAATCCCAAACAAATATCAACCAATTCAAAACGCTCACAAAAATCTAACATTCAACTTCCCACCGACTATGTCTCATTCACAATATGAACTTTTGTGACGTCACCCGCAGAATTTATGCGCGCCATACGAATGAAGTGCTGCATGTGGTTGTGTGCATGCAAATGGAGAGTGAGACGACTGTATGTGTGAGTAACATGTGTAGAGGCAAAGCAAAAGCAGAAATTTGTGTTTTCAGTTCATCGTATAAATCGATGCTGGTGGTTGACATAGCACAACATACAGACATCAGTTGTTGCTGATTGTAAATTTGCAATTTTGTTGTGTGTGGCCAATAAAAATTCATATTTTTTGACCATTTTGCTCCGGCTGATTGCTGTTGTCGACCGATTTTACACGGTATTCGTGTCACAGTTAAATTTATTCAAGCATTTGTCTCCGTGTTTGACATATTCTTAACATTGTTTTCACTGTAAACTTGAAATATTCTTATCGTTTGATAAAAGAGAAGGTGTGTATTGTGTATGAACTTCAGCGAGCAAACTTTTGCTACGCGTCAAAAATTAAATCAAAGAATACAAACGCGTTGCTATACTGAATGTATTCCAAAAAGTGTAATCGATTTTTCAAAGTCACAGAATATGTCCAACCTTTCCTAATGAATTGAGATCAATTATCATCATGTGAAACGAATTATTTTGTGGATTGAATCGCAAATGAAAAAATGTGTGATTTCGCATTCATTTGTGACATTGTAGCTCTGCGTTTTCAGCATTTCAGCGAATTTTGCCAAATAGATGTGTTTTTCCTTTTCAATTTCTTCCCGTGTGCAAACGACGCCAATATTCACGGCTTGCGGCTAATTATAGAATTTGTTAATTTTTTTCGTTGATATTTTTGTTTGTTATTCTCGTACTTTGCCTCGAATAAAAGAAATATTCATATAAATTGCGTTAAATGCATTCTAATGCCAATGTTATTTTCTCAAAATAGTTTTATTTTCGTTCGGTGAGTGTGTGTGTGTGTGTGCGTGATAACCGGATAAATTCAGCTATCGAATAAAATATGATTTTGTATGGGCCTTTGTGATGTGATTTTATATGGACCTTTGTGATAACTCTTATCAAATGCCCCATATTTTTCTCATTGTGTTCAATTAATTATTGAACAAATCAAATACGATAAGCAACGAGATTATTTGGGAGAGATTTCGCTATCGTAGAAAAAAAACGATTAAACTTTGAGTATTTCCAATCTCATTCAGAAATCTATTGAACATCGCACAGTGACGTCGTCAGAGTTGTCACATGAAACAAACGCTGATAAAGCAATTTAAAGCGCGAGCACATCTTAAAAAAGAGGCACATATGTATGCAAAACCAAATTGTTTTTGTTATTCAAACGACAATTCCTAATTAAAGGCAGTTTAATACTCATTGGCGCTGACTCTCATACTGGTGCGACGCTTTAAACTGGACGTCTGACATTTCAACTCAATAACAACTGTATTTTCTGCACTAACTTTAATTTTTAATAAACACTGAACAGTGAAATGAGAGATTATTCAAGCCATCCACACTAAAACCAGCAACATTTTTCAGTCATTCTACAGTATCAGTAAAATTCACGTGACGACCAATTGCATATTATGACATTAAAGCATTTTTATTACAGCATCCACATACAAAAAAATGGCATCGAAATCAACAACAGCCGCAGAACCACCCAAAACAAAACAATTTGCGTAAGATGTCTTTTTAATTGAATTTTTTTCATTGACAATTGAATTGTTCAGTAAACAATGTTCACAAACTTGATTTTTAATAAATTTTCTTTTCTCAATTTATCATTTTCACTTTATTTTGATTTTTTGTTCGTTTCGAACAATTTGCTATTTCACTTTCTTTCTCTCAATAGAAGAATTATATTTTTTATAATTTTTTTTTAATTTACCAAAGTTTTTAAATCAAATGATATGATTCCTTCATTTTTAGATTACTTCCAAAGATCATAAACGGTGGTATAGCTGGAATTATTGGTGTGTCATGCGTCTTTCCATTGGATTTAGTGAAAACTCGCTTACAAAACCAGCAAGTGGGTCCAAATGGTGAAAAAATGTACAAATCCATGTAAGTATTTTGTTTCTCATTCTTGAAATTGAATTTTTTCAAAGAAAATGTTCGGTAATCATCGAAAATTCGATTTGTATTAAATACTTTGTGTAAATTCTCTACAAACAGGTTGGATTGTTTTAAGAAAACTTATCGAGCTGAGGGCTATTTTGGCATGTACAAAGGGTCAGCCGTGAATATTTTGCTTATCACCCCAGAAAAGGCCATTAAACTGGCTGCCAATGATTTCTTTCGTCATCATTTGACTACTAAAGATGGGTAAGAATTGAATGATCAATGCATATTAAGCATCAAAATGAAAGCCGAGTGAATAACTTGAAAATGTCTTTCTCTTCTTTTTTTCTTCAGGAAATTACCTGTCACTCGTCAAATGGCAGCTGGTGGTTTGGCTGGTTTGTGTCAGATTATAATTACAACTCCGATGGAATTGTTGAAGATTCAAATGCAGGACGCCGGACGTGTTGCGGCTCAAGCCAAATTGGCGGGTAAAACTGTGCCAAAAACATCTGCCACAAAAATTGCTCTCGAACTGTTCCGAGAGAAGGGAATTTTCGGTCTATACAAGGGAATTGGAGCAACAACTTTGCGTGATGTTTCATTTTCAATTGTTTACTTCCCATTGTTTGCGACATTGAATCAATTTGGTCCACGTAAAAATGATGGCAGTGGCGAGGCTGCGTTCTTCGTATCATTTGCATCCGGATGTGCCGCTGGTTCGTTGGCTGCTTTGGCTGTGAATCCATTTGATGTAATCAAAACTCGACTACAAGCGCTCAAAAAGGCCGAGGGTGAAATGCAATTCAACGGCATTTTCGATTGCATTGGGTAATTTCAACGTGATAATTATTTCGAAAAAGAAAAAATGAATCAAAATGTGCTTTGTTTCCAGAAAAACGCTAAAACACGAAGGACCGCAAGCATTCTTCAAGGGCGGTCTGTGTCGAATGATTGTCATTGCGCCATTGTTTGGTATCGCACAAATGGTGTACTTCTTGGGTGTAGCCGAAGCATTGCTAGGAACCAAAAATAAATAAACACTGCCAACCAACTATGGTACAACGCGACTCACATAGTGCACATATATAGTTAAAACAAAACTGCTTGAATGTCCATAACACATAATTCAGTCATAATAGAACTAGATTAAGGCATCTAAGGCCCCTACGTGTACTCCGATTTTATGCACGCTGATGAACTCAATGAAATCCTGGTGAAGTATTACCGCCCGTCACCAAAACCAAAATCAATATACGATAAGCCACAATTAGAAATGCTTGACAATAATTACCTGTTGTACGTGTGTCGTTGGATATATTGTCTGATAACTGAAGAGTTTATTTATGTATTTTACTGTGTTAAAAATGGAAATGGAATGAAGACAGATCGAGAGATCCGTTCTTTTGTTATGAAGTGTTTGATTTTACAGGAAATATTATCTCAATTAACCGGAATATATAAATATCAGATTGTAAGCCAAGCAAAATGGTCTAATTTATGAAGTTTTAAATGTTTTAATGGAGAAAAAAAAATTGTTCAGTTGATATACCATATTCAATCGGTAATAATGTGATGTGATCACGTATCATTTATTTATTTGGAATGGAATATTCTGCGAACGATATATCATGAGATTGTATTTAGTCAGCAAAAATGAATAAAACAAAAGAAATATGAAGCTAAAAAATATGAAGTTTTTCAATTAAAAATTCTATTTTTGTTGGTAGAAACTCGTCAAAATGAATACAAGCACATCAACATAGTTAGATATTTCTCAAACAAATAGACAGGTGAGTAGTACACACGAACCATCGATGTTTTTGTTTTTATCTGTCTCTTGTATTTAGTGAAGCATATGATGTAGGTACAAATTTTGTTCTTTTAAAACTTTTTATTCCAACTTTTGATCCACGTTTACATTTTATAACAGTATTATATGAAATAGTGGCTTGAAACCCTTCTTGCTTCATTTTTGAAGTTAAACTTCTGAAAAGAGTGCTAATACTAATGGATACACATGTCAATTTCGGAAATGGTTAAATATTTAGGTGATTTGAATCAGAGACTATCAATAACCCATGGCAAAAATGATCTGTAGTTGAAGAGTCGAATGTTTTCGGAAGGATCAATGAGATTAGACAAAACTTCCTTTCGAACAATTGATCAAAATTCAAAACATGGAAATTTGTATTGAAAATAAACTTATCAGCCATACTTCACTTTAAAAAATGATAAAAGTGATGAAAATTATAAGAATGAAATTAATAAATGTGTCAGATGAAGCTCAAAGTCGAGAAATTGATAAGAAATTTCGACTTCTATGAACGTTTATTAACACAAAGGTTTCACATTGGTATCCAAATTCGATAACTAGAGCATGATTCAATCAAAAATCGATACAATTACACAAGATTTGATTGTTTTCCTGTATTCCGGCTCAATGACAAATAACGAAAACGAAAACGAAATAATGCATTTTGACTTTGATATTTTGAATGCTTCTCTGTATATGCGAAGTTCACATAAGCAATCTTGTACTCTTGGATATTTTTCAGAGATAGAACAAGGCTGCTTAGATTCTTATGTCATTTCTTTTCACTCCATTACGTGGAATATTCCCGACTAAAGACGTTCAAAATTATTAAAAATACAAGATAATATTTTATTAGACAATGAAAGAAACTGCAGCAGCAGTTGAAATTAAAACAAAGCGATTTGCGTAAGTTATCAATATTTTTTATAAAGCTTTGGAATATTTATTTTCACAGATAAACTAAAAAAAAGAATGACATTTTTGTTCAAATTTTTATGTGCTCTTTCTATATAAGATTGCTTCCTAAGGTCATAAACGGTGGAATTGCTGGAATTGTAGGCATAACATGTGTATTCCCATTGGATTTAGTGAAGACACGATTGCAAAATCAATCAGTTGGTCCAAATGGTGAGAAATTGTACAAATCCATGTAAGTTTTTTTCTTTCATTTGATTTCATTTGGCGTTTTTTCCCATAATTTTAATGTAATTTTAATTTTGTAATACAGGTTGGATTGCTTCAGAAAGACTTACCGAGCAGATGGATTCTTGGGTATGTACAGAGGATCAGCGGTGACTGTACTATTTGTGACACCCGAGAAAGCCGTTAAACTAGTTGCCAACGATTTTTTCCGCCATAAGTTTGCCACAAAAAATGGGTATGATCACATCGATTGGCTTTATTGCTATGTAAACTGCGTTTGATTTTATTCAATTGGGCCACAAAGTTGTGAAAGAACGTGTGAAGGCTTTATACCATTTGTGCTTTTTGCAATAATATGGAGCCGCCATGATTATTTACCAATCAAAAGTACTGAAATACAGTGTATTTGAGTACGTACCTTCTCCACTAATGCTTGAAAGCACAATGGTATAAAAATCTGCAAGAATTTACGCCTCGTTCTTTTTGAACTTTTTATATTTATTATATCGAATTGAATTAATTTGAATATATGAATCTTAATGGAAAATGAAATAAAAAATTCAAGATAAAATTAAATATCTTCATCAGAAAATTGCCCGTCACCCATCAGATGGCCGCTGGAGCTTTGGCTGGTATGTTCCAAATTAGTGTTACAACTCCGATGGAATTGCTGAAAATTCAATTGCAAGATACACGAAAACAATCGGTCAAATCGAAAACAATAGAGAAACCTTCGGCAACCAAAATTGCTCTAGAATTGTTGCGGAAAAAAGGCATTTTCGGACAGTACAAAGGGATCGGAGCGACTGCTTGTAGAGATATCTTTTTCTCAATCATTTATTTCCCATTGTTTGCCACATTAAATCAATTTGGACCGCGAAAAAGTAACCGCAGTAACGATGCCGCATTTTTCGTATCGTTTGCGTCTGGTTGTGCCGCAGGTTCATTGGCTGCATTAAGCGTAACGCCATTTGATGTGGTCAAAACCAGACTTCAAATACTTAATAGAGCTGAAGGGGAAATACAGTACAATGGAATCATAGATTGTATGAGGTAGGTTGAAACTTTTTGAATAAAATCTGCGTCAAGTGTTTATGTCAATTGATTTGGGTTGCAGGAAGACACTGAGGTACGAAGCACCGACAGCATTTTTCAAGGGTAAGTCAAAAATTTTCCAAAATGTGAACATTTTAATGATTTGATTGATATTAATTATAAATTGTGCACATTTAGGTGGCCTTTGTCGCATGATGGTCATCGCACCGCTTTTTGGCATCGTGCAAATGGTTTATTTCTTTAGTGTAGCAGAGAATTTGTTTGGAATTTAAAAACAATACAATTTACATTGAAAGTAATTTATTGCTCCAAAGTTGCATAAATGAATGAATTTAGTGAAAGTCCCGAGAATTTAGTTCCGACTTTCGGATATCATTACTGAAATGACTTAATCTAAATGTATTTCGATATTAACATCTAAAACTGTAGATTTCAGTCATATTCATAAAAAGCAACATTTTTTGCTCAACCAAAATAGATAGACGTATAAATAGACTCCCTTTGAAAGATGATTGTTCAAAATTTCTGAAGGTTCAGCATTGTTTTGAAATGATCAATGACGCGGTCGTACACGTCTGTTTCTTTGGCCGCAATAACACAGTCATGATTGCCATGCAAGTAGAAAACCTTGAACTCTTGTTGATGGTTCGGAATATCGATGACGTTGTATTTGAGTTTGAGAGCAGCGCATATCAGATCAACCTTGTTTTTGCTGGTGCCATAGATGGTAGATGAATCATCCATCAAAATCTTTTCGGCTTCATTTCGGTCGTCTTTGGGTAGCTGAAGAAAATAGTTGTGTCGATCGCGTATTCGTGGCGTCCACAGTTTTGCCTGTGATTCTTTGAGTTCATTGTATGTGGGCAATGGTTCAGCATCAACGGCGCCCCTTTCCTTTTGTTCAGCATCAACAACAGTCGCAACTTGCATTTGTTCCTCATTTAGTCCAAAATTCTGTACGACGTCGATCACTGCGCGAGTAGCGATTTGCTTTGCACCTTTTTTCGTTGAAAATGTGCCGGTGCGTTTGATACTTGCTATTTGGCAAACGTACGTAAATATCGGCGCATGGGGCTGTCCACATGATTGCATCTAATGAAATCTAAAAAAAGAAAGTGACAATGTGAGAATCCATTCGAAATGTGAATTAATACCAATGAATCATACGTCGGAAGTGGCCAATTTCGCTGGACACAGATGTCACGTAAAGCCATGACGGCATCACTGTCGGATGTTGGTCGTGGTGTTATCGGTACTTTTTGAAATGTATGTTTGAATCGATCCAGACTTTTCAGCTTAGCTATAATAAAGAGGAAGTTACGAAACATTAAAAACAATTGCTAATTCATTTTCTGATTTTTCAACCAAAAATACTGGCTTATTTACTCGTATCGTCAAAGTTGCTTACCAATTAATTTTGCGCTAGCATCATGTTTGGCTTCTTTTTTCGATCGGCCCGAGCCTCTGGCATACAAATCGAACGCAGTTGCAATGCAAGAGAACATTTTGAGATCGGTCTTATGTTGCACATTTTCATCAAACATCAACACCTCATCGTTCTGTACACAAAACTCATGCAATGCAGCGACCGGTGTTTTTTCCGACGAACCCAATGGATGTGGCATAATTGATACTTTCGGCTTGTTTATGAGCTCAATAAATAAATTTATAAATTAATGAAAAATATTGCGTCGAAATGAAACGTTCCGCAACTTTGCCGATTGAACAATGAATTTCACACCGTAAACACAGTGAGTCAACGTCAGATTATGTCACTGGAAGGCACTCACAGAGAAACGTCAAAATGAACTGAGTTCGAAAATGATGTATCGGCTAACACTGTTTACATTTGTGACATTTTTTCCATCTGTATTCAAAACATATGATATGAGTAGAGGTATTCAAATAAACCAGAATAGCAAGAATAGAATCCGTTTGTAATCAGCTTATTCGACTCTTCAATATGAAATGTCAATGTTTATTCCAATTGTTATTGTTTTTTTAGTATTTTTCTTTGAAATTCAAGTAGTTGGATTTCATTTTATGCATGTTATTTACCTTATTATTGCCGTGATTTCGATTAAACTGCTTAAAATTCACGATAGACGATTCAATCCAAAACACCCAATAAGTCTGTAGCGTTAACTTCGGCCACCAAGGGATGGGAATGTTTTTACAATAAAAATGCATTTTTGGTCTACACAAAGGAATAGGAGCAACTGCTTGCAGAGACATCCTTTCCTCCATAATTTATTTTATTTCATCATATTTTATTTTTTACTTCACGAGTAATACTTTATCGGTTTTGATATTGTTTTGTTTTGTATATAGGCTTGTGATCTTAGAAAATAAAAATAAAGAATAATGAATAGCGAATGAAAATTCTTAACGATCTTAATGGTACTTTTATGACAAAAAAGAAAAGTAAATAGAAACGTTTTTGTGCTATCATTTCGTTAGAGAAGAATCCAAATGGGTTTGGTTCATTTTCTTTGTAGGAGCTTATTCAGATTCAAGCTGGACATTTGGTTTATTATTCTTTAGTAGACTGTACTTAAACTAATACGGCATCGATTTGCGCACCATCCAAAAGACTCTCCTCTTACGGTATTATGCTTCTTGGCTGCTTTTTTGGCTTCTGAAAATATAATTGGCCAACGACAAGGAATTAAAATTTGATAACATTTCGAAAAAGGGGGAAGACAATGTTTAAAACTTACCAATAATTGAAATGTTGTGATTCACTTTTGTGCAATGACAAAATACAGCTTCGACACCTCATTCGCCATATAATTCCGTTCCAATAGAGCATCTTTATCAATTTTATAGAAGTATTCCTCTAGAATATCTTCTCTTTCCTTCTTTGTTTTTGCATAGTCAAGTTTTTGTTCACGTTTATCAAACAGCTTGCTGAGTTGATCATTAGTATAGTCGTATCCTTCTGTTGCCTTGTTGTATTGTTGTATCAAATCTTGTAAATTCATGTTCAACATTTCTTTACAGCTGCCCAATGAAATTTCACGCCGATTGGGTTCATAACCGACAACAATGGATAGTTTATCACGCGCTTCGTCATAAAAATATCGGTTATGTAGATGGTCATGGACATGTTCGGTCAGAATAGTTTCGAAATCGATGAACGGATTGGCAAACGGATCTTTGAAGTCAGGATTGGGAAAGTGTTTATGAACTTGCACGTAGAATTCATCGCGATCAAGTTGATTGTCAAGTGGATTCACTTCAAGTGCCCCATATATTTCATCAAAAGTGTATGTGTATTTCTGTTTTATGCGTTCCATTAGTGCATCGTCATCAATTGCCTTGGCAACCCATTCTCGTTCGATTTTGTAGCCTTTGTCCAAAAAATACGCCACCAACTCCGACAGAATTTTATGATTGCTTGATGAAAGTGAAAAAAAGTCTAGAAACCAAGCAACATCCTCAACTCTCACTGCACCGTTTTCCAATAAGTAGGTGATTTCTTCGCACGTAAAAGCGTCAAAATCAAAATAGGCAACGATGCTAGCTAAGATGTTTTTGACATCAAATTTTTTCACAAATCTCGATATTTCTTCTATATTGAGACCGCATGCAATGATGTAATCGATGTTTGGCTTATAATCTGGTTCGGGTTGATATTCATCAAGCTTGTTTGTTTTCACATAATTCAACACAAGATCTTCGTCTCTTTCCTCCTGCTTTTTCTTCAATTCTTCTTTTTTGCGCTGCTCTTCCTCGTGTTTGATTTCGTGTTCGGCTCGAACCTCCTCGGTTAGCACAATTTGACGACATTTTGGACATTGGTGAACATTCTTCATATGATTCACCAATTGATACTTCTTCTGGAACTCACATTCACAATAATGGCATTCGTGATTCGTACTTCTTTTTCATTCGTTTGTACTCGTTCTGCTCACAGCACACTAATTGTCGTTTGCCAGTGAACTGTACATCGTGGATTTCGTGAATGTGGTCATCTAATTGCTCGTTTTTTTCGAAAACGCATTCACAGTGAGCACATTCCACGGTTTTTTGTGGTTCCCACTTTGATGCCTTTTTGTTGATTTCACAACAAGGAAATTTCGGCTTCATCTTGAACAACTGAAAAGCTACTGAAGCGGCACAGTGTGTCTCCCTTTCGTAAATACTCACAAACCGTTGGCACTGACAGATACAGTAAAATGTCAAATCAAAAGTGACAACACACGACTTAGGTTATATTTTTCGTTGGTTTTGAGAATGGTCTGTTGGTAAGTTTAATTTAAATATTCCAATTTAACAAAATATAAAAATATTCCATCTACGCTTTATTCTTATTCTAGACGCCCAAATCAATTCAAAATCACTCGTCGATCAAATGTACCAAGTGAAGCGGCATATTTCCATTTATGTTGACTGAATTCAATTCAGTGGGGGAAAATGTTGTCAAACTCATTGACACAGCGAATTTTGCAGAGATTTCCGGGAAAATTAACATACTGCTTTGCATATGGATCTGGTGTGAAAAAGCAAACGGGTTACAATGACAAAGCGCAGAAAGATGCAATGATTGATTTGGTGCTGTGCGTAGACGATGCATTTGAATGGCATAAACGAAATTTGGAGAGAAATCCCCATGATTATTCGTGGATGCGGCTTTTGGGTTCCAAAATAATTGGAGAATATCAACGATATGCAGCTGGTGTCTACTGTAAGAACTTGTGGCTTCATTGGATTCCTTCTGATTGATGCAAAAATCGATTTTTATGTTTATTTTGTAAACATTTTAGGTAACACCTTAATACCAATTGACAAACACACCACAATAAAATATGGTGTGATTCGAACGCAGGACCTCAGTGACGATTTGTGCCATTGGTCTCATTTATACGTTGCTGGCCGATTGCATAAGCCAGTCAAAACACTAATCGAACCGAATGCCGAACTGAGGAACGATATGGCAAAGAATTTTGAAAATGCTCTACACACTGCACTCTTGCAATTGCCCGAGCGATTTACCTATTTGGAATTATTTCATACAGTTGCTAATATTAGCTATGACGGTGACTTTCGAATGTTTTTCGGCGAGAAAAAAGACAAAGTGAAAAACCTCGTTGAACCGCAACTAGATGCATTTCTCAAATTGTACAAACCATATCTGCAGAATATGTTACATTGCATTCATGTGCCTGACCTATCAAAAGTGTGCGATACGAGAATTCAACAGACGAAATCATATGATTCTGTACTTGAGCACTTACAAGCATTACCAAAGCGAATTCAAGAATTGTTAAATGAGTCATTGCCAGAGTTAGCTCATAAGCCTGATTTTGGCAGTGGAGTTAAATCAGCCATCAGGGCTATCAATCGAGATAACAGCATTAGACAAACATTAAAAAATATTCCCACAGCCGGTGTGTTCAAAGCGATTGAATATGGCTCAAAAAAAGCACTAAAAACATTTTCAAAATGATTAAAAAACAATTGAATGAATTTTGTCTATTGTTTTAGTTTTTCCTTGTATTTTTTCCACAACATGGATGGTTTGCATGGTTTTTCGCTTTAAACAAGAAAGATTTTTCCAAATAAAGAGTATTAAAACTTTGTTGTTTTGAGAGAGTGTTGTACGATGTTAAAATTTCTTAATCTAACCAATAAAAATGGCATTTATCTCGGCCTTTATGAAGTTTCAGATTGGCAATTTTATTACATATACTTGTTGCCAATTAATTTGATATTGATACCATGTTTTTGGTTCTGTTTCGACAATAACTTCGATTTAACGGCAATAATTTGGCCTCTAAATATAACCGCAGGTACAGTACAAATACAACTGATTTTGATATGTTTAATAGCAAAGAGAGATCTTCTTATTGATCTAATGGACCGTCTACAGCTTTTGATCAATCAAAGTAAGACATATGCATTGATTCTCCAAACAGTAGACAACTTTGTATTTATTTCAAATGTCTCTATTCTAAGGATGTGATTCATCTCCCGACGCGTTCAATATTTACCAAAAGACGGAAAAAATTAATAACATTTTCTGCTCATACCTGTTGAGGTTATGCTCATCAAGTATAGTCTCCTTTTTTGGACCACAAATTTTAACCTTTGGTTTTCCTGGATCGGAGTTTCGCCGATCGCCATTGACAACAAAGTATTTTATTCTTCGTCTTGGTGCGATCGTTGAATGATTAGATTGGTCTTAATTTATTATCTCTAGGATTTTCACCAATGAAGACGATCCGCCTGAATTTGTATTGGCTTTTGTAGTTCAACTGCTGGCATCAGCAGCATATTTACTAGCATATTTAGCAATGTTTTCAACTTTTTGTGCATACTTCGTCGGAATGTGTACGTACATTGGTGCATTGTTCGCCGATTTCAGTACAGTTGCATCGAAGCTTGACGCATCCGTAACCGAGGAGAATCATCAAAAAGAGTCTATCACCCAGAGCACTCTTAATAATCTTATTCAACTGCATTCCGATATTTTGGGGGTAAATGATAGAATTATTTTTATTTATATTTCACTTTGAGTATAACTAAACTCAAAAAATTTCTGTTCGCAGCATTATGAAATCTGCGAGGACCTTGATGTCTGGTCCGCAATTTGTTCAATTTTCGATATTTGTGACGTATGTGGTATTGGCGATTCGATCATTTGAGGAAAGCGTACAAAATCTATCTGTCGAGTTTGTGATGCGCATGTATGTCTTGTTCTTTCAACTCCTCCTGGTTTATTTAACGTGTTACTTTGCAACCAAAATAACCGTCAAAACAGCTGACATGGCAAATATAATCTACAATACTCGCTGGTATTCTTTGCCTTTGCAACAACAAAAACTGATCGCACCAATCATTCGTTAAAGCCAAATTCCTTTCGAATTCAGTGGATATATCTTCACCACCTCTTTGGAAACATTCCCAAAGGTGAGTGATGTTATGGAAATCTTGTTCACAAAAAAAACAAACGAATTCCGTCTATTGCTTTACAGTTGATACGCTCTTCAGTCTCATACTATCTTGCATTGAAGCAGGTCAGTGAGGGAAAATAATAAACATCAGAACACACACCAGACAAGAGTTGCTTCGATTTCTCCCAGAACATGCAATGAACAAAACCAGAGTTTATTTTGAGCGGAATTCATTTGCACTAAATAAATTTATGCGATGGATTTATCAGATAAATCTCACTCGTCGTTGTATAAACGCAACGCGTTCAAAACACACTCAACGCACGTTTGAACAAGCACCACTAGTGCGTATTCAAACAAATGGCATTTCATGTATGTAGGATTTTCCAATAAAAAACATATTTATTTGAATAGTATAACTACATATGCGAAACTATATGTAAAATACGAAATATATGAATATTCCAAAACGATGGAAACAACTGAACTGAACTGGAATGAAAATTCTAGATTTGAACGCGTAATATTGATATCAAAATTTACAGAATTTGGTCAATAATAACATTTTTCGAGACAATTTCACTTATAACTATTGAAGATCTAGCATCGTTTTGAGGTAAGCAATGACGCGGTCGTACAAGTCTTCTTCTTTGGCCGTGATAAGACAGTCATAATCGTCAAGTAAATAGAAAGCCTTGAACTGTTGTCGATGGTTCGGAATATCGATGACTTTGTATTCATGTTTGAGGGCAGAGCATACCAGGCCAACACGGTCCTTGGCCGTGCCGTAGATAACAGAAAAATCATCCATCAAAATCTTTTTAGCAGCATTACGATCGGCTTCAGGTAAACGTAGGAAGAAATTGTGTCGGTCACGCAATCGATGGGCCTTTGGTTTAGCCGGAATTTCTTTGAGCTCACGATATGCACGGAATACTTTCTCTGGTGGTTCCGCATCGATGGTGGCAATTAGTTTTTTTTCCTCGTTTTGTACACAATTTTGCACGATCTCAAGCACTTCACGGGCAGCAATTTGTCTGGCACCCTTTTTGGTTGAAAATGTGCCGGTGCGCTTGATTTTCGACACTTGACAGACGTAAGTAAACATCGGGGGATGTGGTTCGCCACCTGATTGCATCAATTCAAACCTAAAAAGCGTGTCAATTGAATATGTATCTGTTTGAAATCCACATTAAACCAAAGAAGAGTCTTACGTTGGCATTGGAAAATTTCGTTGCACACAAATTTCAAGCAAAACTGCGATTGCATCACTGTCCGATATTGGACGCGGTGTTTCTGGCACTTTTTGCAGCTTCTGTTTGAATCGATCCATTTTTGCTAGCTGAGCTGTATTCAAATAACAAGAAATATTGAAGAAAAAAAAATGTAAAAATAGACTGTCATCTAGGAAAATGTCTCAATAGTACTAACCCATTAGATGTTCACTGGCTTCATGTTTTGCTTCTTTTTTCGATCGGCCCGAGCCGCTAGAAACCAAATCAAAAGCGGCTACGAGGCAGGAAAACATTGTCGAATCGGTTTCATGCGGAACATATTCGAATACCACAAGCTCATTTTCTTGCACGCACAATTCTTGTAATACAGTTACCGGTGTTTTTTCCGTCGAGCCCAGTTTTCGCTTCATCGGTGCTTCAGTGGATGACATGGTTTGTGTTTGGACATTTTCACGACATGAATTTTCAATATTTCGAATGGTTCAACCGAGTTTAGTGAAAAGTGATTTAAAAATTTAAATTCGCAGTCAATTTAAAAGCCGACAAACATTCCGAATCCAAGTTCCGCTCCGAATCGACTGAATTTCACAACGAAATGTTTGTATTGCGCTCTCTGCTGTCAATTCATAGCAAGGCAAACTGTCAAAGTGTGCAGTGCTCGTTTCTGTCAAACTTAAACTGGTCAATGGCTTGCAATCACTCACACACTGATACAAATGCAAAATTTACTTTCTTTATTTATTATTCAATCTTTTCATTCTCTTTATTTATGAAATCAAATATGTATATGCATAAAGGCAGATTGGAATATAATGATGGATACATGCGAACAAATCGATTTTTAAACAAATTAAGCGAACAATATATATATATATATGAAGATTCTTTGGACAAATAAATTAGTAGATATTGATAAAATTCATCATAATTTTGAAGTATTCAATAATGCGATCGTATAAGTAGGGCTCTTTGCCAACAATAACGCAATCGTAGTCGTCAAGTAGCACGAAAAACTTATGTTTCTGTGGATGATCCGGAATCTCTTTGATATCGTACCGAATTTTCAGAGTTTTACAAATCAAATCCACTTTATCTTTGTTGGTGCCAATTGTTGCACCATCACTTTTCAGTATTTCATAAACGGCTTGACGATCTTCGCCCGGCAATCTCATAAAGTAATTATTACGATCGCGTATTCGAATCGAAATCGGTTTGATATCAGACTTTTTCAATTCGCGATACGTGCGGAATGTTTTTTCCGCTGGTTCAGCATCCACAGTGGCCAATTGCTGTTGATTCTCATTCTGCGAAATATTTTGCACAAACGATAACATCGATTGAGCTGCAATTTGCTTGGCACCCTTCTTAGTGGACGCCGTTCCAGTGCATTTGATATGGGCCAATT